TAGGGCGCTCTAGGGGCCGCCTGGCCAATCTGCCAGGTCACCCCCCATCAGCACCTCAGTCGGCAACTGATCGTGCCCCCCCACGTCTTGGGCCCCTCCTTGGCCCCCCATTTCAGATGCACCCTCGCCACGGGTATCTTAAACAGGGGCCCGCACTCGCCCGTCAGGGTCAGGGAGGTGTTGGGCACCACCCGGTCTGGGGCCACCCCGCCGGGCCAGGGTTAGCGGGTCGGAGAGGGGACCCGGCGCCCCTCAGATCTCCGCTCGCCGGCCGGGGTTAGCGGGTCGGAGAGGGAACTGATCCCAGCGAAGGGCCGGACCCTGTCTCAGGGGATCCTCTCCCTGCTCCTCCCACTGGCCCCACACGCCAGCACCAACTTCTCCCTGTCCCAGTACGGCTTCACCATGCTGACATGGTCACCCGGCGCCTGTGAGCCGGTTACACAGCTCCACCACACAGTTCACCTCATTCAGCTGCCGGGTGACCTTAACGGGCCCGTCCGTGGTAGCCGGTCGCTTGTTGTTCCTCACGGGGATGAGGAGCATCACCTGGTCCCCGGTGCCATAGGAACGGGCACGCACTGGGCGGCCGTACCAGACCTAGATTCTCCCCGGCCAAGGCCATGAGCTCCGTGAGCTTTTCCCGGAGAAGACAGGACATACTGCACCCCTGATTCTCCGTTGGGGGAGGCCTTCCCCTCCCATTCGTCCCGCATCACGTCCAGGGGCCCCAATTCCCGTCCCGTACAGCAACTCGAATGGGGAGAACCCGGCGGATTCCCGGGGCACTTCCCGGTACGCAAACAGCCCATTGAACCTCTCCACCAGCCCGTTGGACTGAGGGTGGTACGGCGAGGCCCAGGTGTGTCGGACCCCACACCTCTCCCACAAGCACCGGAGCAGAGTTGACATGAAATTGGAGCCCCGGTTTGTAAGGACCTCGCTGGGGACCCCCACTCTGCTGAAGATGGTCAGCAGCGCGTCTGCCACGGTGTCTGCCTTGACAGAGGACAAGGCCACCGCCTTGGGGTAGCGCGTAGCGAAATCTACCACCACCAGGATGTATTTCTTCCCAGACCGGGTCGTCTTGCTGAGAGGTCCCACTATGTCCATGGCCACCTTCTGGAAAGGCTCCTCTATGATGGGCAGGGGTCTCAAAGCCGCTTTCCCCTTGTCCCGGGCTTTCCCCACCCACTGGCAGGGGTCGCAGGACCTGCAGTATTGCCGGACGGCATCAAAGACCCCGGACCAGGAAACGTTACGTGGCAGCCTCTGCCTGGGGCGCCGGATCCCCTGGTGTCCCGAGAGAGGGACATCGTGGGCCAGGTACAGCAGCTGGCGGCGATACTTCCGGGGCACCACCAGCTGCCTCCTGATCCCCACGACTCCACTTCCCCTGGGGGAGCCCATTCCCGGTACAGGAACCCCGTCTCCCACAGGACTCTCTCCCGGCAGCCTTCCCCCCGGGGTTTCACCACACCATGGCCAGCAAGTCCCCTCAGCTTCTCCAAGGAGGGATCCTTCCGCAGCTCGGCCTGGACCCAGCGGCGGGGGAAGGGATGGGGACCTGCTCCCTCTCAGTGGTGGGGTCCGAGGCTGCAGCACCCCAAGTCCTGTCCCCAGTGGCTCCTTTCCCGCCGGGGTAGGGACCTGCGCCCCCAGCATGGCACCGCCCCGGTGTCAGGGCAGAGTGCCTTTCGCTGGCCCTGGCTACGGGTGATGACTAGGGCGCTCTAGGGGCCGCCTGGCCAATCTGCCAGGTCACCCCCCATCAGCACCTCAGTCGGCAACTGATCGTGCCCCCCCACGTCTTGGGCCCCTCCTTGGCCCCCCATTTCAGATGCACCCTCGCCACGGGTATCTTAAACAGGGGCCCGCACTCGCCCGTCAGGGTCAGGGAGGTGTTGGGCACCACCCGGTCTGGGGCCACCACCTCAGGCCGGGCCAGCGTCACCTCCGCGCCCGTGTCCCAGTATCCAGTGACCTGCTTCCCATCCGCCTCCGGGGGAACGAGGCACTCGGTCCTCAGGGGCGGCCCCGCGCCCATCCTGTAGACTGAGAACTTTGAATCCAGAGCTGGCCTGGGAGACTCCTTGCTCTTGGGCCATGGCTAAGCTGCCAGCCCCACCGCCTGGGGGGCAGCCCCTCCTCCGGCTGGGCCCCCACCCAGTTACCCTGTGAGGCCTCGGTTTGCTCCTGTCCCTGCGCTTGTGGCCCCTCTGCCCACAGTAATGACACCTCAGGCCCCGTTGGTCCCCTGGGGCCGGTCGGTCGGCTCGGGTGCGGGCTGTGCCTCTCGCGAGGGATTTATCTGAGACTCCCTTCAGGGGAGCCCCTGGGTGACCCCCCTTCCGCACTGCTGTGGGCCTGTCCCCCTGGGACTCCATAGCCCGACCCTCTGTCTCCAAACTCGCCAGCCAGCCGCCCCGCCCGGGGCAGGTCCTTCCGCCTCTTGTCCACCAGCCGCATCCTCAGCTCAGGGGGCAGAGTTGAGATAGTCGCTCCAGCCCCATCTGGTCAATCACGTCCTCCTTGGCCTGGGCCCCGGCCCCATTCACCCCCATCAGCGTGGCCAGTTCCGGATACGTCACCCCCTGGGTCTTCTGCACACCCCGGAGCCGTTTCCTGTACGCCTCGGGGCCTGTGTGAGCAGCGCATAGCCCCCTGCTTCCACCCCATCCGTCTGGCTGAACAGCTCTGGCCTTGGGACCCAGAAAGGGGGTGAGATGCCGAAGCCGGTGGGTCATCCTGGTGCACGGTGCTGCCTTCTCAACGGCCGTGAGGGAGGCGGCTGTGTCGTCCCCGTCCTTATACTGAGGCAGCACTCCGATATCGGCGTCCCCTGCGGGCTCAGCCCCCCTGGGCCCATCCCCACTCACCCCTGTAACCTGATTCCTGGGGCCCTGTCTGCCGGCAGCTCCGGGACGGGGAGCCAAGGCAAACTCAGAGTCTGCCCAGCAAGCAACAGGGAGTGAGATGGCTTCCCAGGGAGCTCAGGAGAGGGGAGAAGCCACTTTGGAGTCAGTCTGGAGCCAGCCAGGGCAGGGGCAGGACCGGCTGTGTGGGGAGCTGGGGAGTCCCGGGCCTGCAGGCAGGTTCCCCCGAGAACTGGCCTCTAGGGTCCAGACAGCCGATCCCTCAGCTGGGTTTTCCTTCCCCACGGATGATTCCCAATTTGTAGCGTTTGCTGGGACACTTCCCCAGCCAGGCTGAGTTCGCCTCCGGCTCCCTAGGGGAGACCAGTCCCCACATGGGCAGCTCTGCTCCGGCTGCTAGTCCGGGGCTGCTGCCTGCGGAGTGGGTCTGGACGCTGGGCTAGGAGGCGACCGTTTGGATGTTAGTGTTGTTGTGTCACCCGCCCCTTGAGCCCTGCACCCCTTTGTGGGGAGGGGAATCCTGGGACCGACGCCGCCTGACTCCTGCCCGAGGAGGATCCCGGCCGGCAGACAGCAGCCCCTCTGCAGTGACCGAGGAGTCCAGCCTCGTCTTCCAACCTGAGGATCATTCATGGAGTTGTGAGTGCACCATCTGTTAGTCAGTCAGGGAATTTGTGTTGGGGACCCCCTACTCCCTGCACTGTGTCCTCGAGCCAGGGACTGAGGGTTTGGGGATTTTATAACCCGCTGTGTATTACACCTGTGGAGGGATTCACCACCTCCTCCCACTTGTGGGTCCTTTGGTCTGCACTGAACCCAGCCAGCCACACGGCTAAACCACTGCAGAGAACAGATCGTGGTCATCGGTCATCACAGGCCCCAGCAAAGCACGCGAACCACCGGGACACTCATCTTACATTTGCTACATCAGGTCCCGGGTATTTTCAGTGTGGGCACCGGTGACCCTAAAAATAGGGTTTCCCCCTGTTATGTTGTATTTGTCTCCTGTTTCATAGAATTATTGTGTTGACTGTATTTTTATGTGTTGTGTTATTTCTTGGGAGTCTCCAACTATCTGGCAAGTAAGTGGGGGTTACGCTGTGGTTAGAATTTTCCTCCCAAGCTGCCCTGGTGACCCTGCCAGGAAGGAGCGAGGGGGGTGGAGGCACCGCCAAATAATTTCATAGGAAAAAAAAGAAAGAAGATTCACCCTGCTGAGTGGGTGGCGGGATCCAAAAGAACCCAGACCTGTCCATCAAAACCTGTACGCGGATTGGCATTAAAGGAGGTAACCAGGTGGAGCGGGGCGCTGCACCACGGTAGGGGTCTCTCTGCTTCTCAGCTCCGCCATCACCAGTTCATGCTGCCTCTGCCTCTCCTGGTCCTGCCGTTCCTTCGCACGGTCCTCCCGTTCCTTCGCACGGTCCTCCCGTTCCTTCCCACGGTCCTGCCGTTCCTTCGCACGGTCCTCCCGTTCCTTCGCATGGTCCTCCCGTTCCTTCTCCTGGTCCTGCCGTTCCTTCGCACGGTCCTGCCGTTCCTTCGCACGGTCCTGCCGTTCCTTCTCCTGGTCCTCCCGTTCCTTCGCACGGTCCTCCCGTTCCTTCTCCTGGTCCTCCCGTTCCTTCGCACGGTCCTCCCGTTCCTTCTCCTGGTCCTCCCGTTCCTTCGCACGGTCCTCCCGTTCCTTCGCACGGTCCTCCAGCGCTTCAGTTTCAGCTCCATTTCCAACTCCAACCGTCTCAGCTCCACCAACGGGGAACTGGGCCGTGAAGATCCCCTGCTGGTCGGGTAGGTGGGTCCTGGGGCTGCCTGGCTGCCCCCAGCCCCTCCCGCGGCCCCAGTTGGGTCAGGATCCGGCTCCTTGGCGCGATCCTCCCCTTCCCACTGGGCAATCAGCTGTGCCTTGGGGAGCTGTCCAACGCTCCGTCCTCTCTCTGCCCAGCTCTACATCGTCCTTCTCAAGGAGATGGTTATAGGCCGTCTCCACGCTGTTCCCAAGGGGTCACGGACTCACAGGCCTGTGCTCTCAGCTCCCCACGGGCCCTGGGAGGAACCGCTTCAGTGCGACAGCCCTTCTCGGGGGTCCATTCTCTCGGGGTTAAGCCGTAGGCCCCTCCACCTCCTGGAACCACACCTCTCTGAGCCTCTAGCGTGCCCGTCTCTCGCTAGTCCCCCTGCATTTTACTGCTCCCCACTCACTTACTGCAGGATGCTCCGTCCACGGGGCGCAGTTTATCCCACCGCTGGCACCAGTTGTTACGGAGTCACCGGGTGATGCTCTGGAACTGCTCCCTACGAAGCCAGGCAGGACTCTGGGGGAGCCTCCTCTCTCGGAGCAGACTGTCCTCAGGGCAAGAAGCTTCCACGGCTTCGACCTTTCTGGGTCTGACCCCGGAGCATTCAGCATCCCCTGCCCCACCGTGCGCTTCCCACAGTGAGTCCACCCAGGCGGGGTTGTGGGGAAGCCAGAGGCTCCTGCCCCCCAACTCCACAGTCAGACGTGACTCTCAGCCAGCCGGGGACACAGAAGGTTTGTTAGTGGACAGGAACATGGTGTAGGCACAGAAATCAGTGACTTTCAGCCAAGTCCGACTTGGGGAGTCCTGGGCCAGACGCCCTGGACTCCCCCACGCAGACAGACAGCTTCCAGCCACCCCACCTCCCACACCCCCCTTTGCTCCTGCTCCTTCTCTTTGTCTCCCTTCCCGGGCAAATGGTGTCACCTGGTCACGCACCCCTCCTGGGTCTCAGGTCACACAGGTGCAAAGAGCTGGGCAGCCTCACCTGCCCCAGGGCCTCGGCAAACTCACCCCCCCAATTCCCACCCCCAAAGTATTGATGCAGCACACAGGGAAACTGAGGCACACCCCGTATTAGTATAGGACAGGAAGACTCACATGCAGCATAAAGAGATGAATAAACCCACTTCATCGCAACTCTGTATAAAGTGTACACAGGGTAAACTCACGAATTGTCCACCCTCTACAACACTGATGGAGAGATATGCCCAGCTGTTTGCCCACCCAGGGATTAATCACTTACTCTGGGTTATTTTATAAGCAAAAGTGATTTTATGAAGTATAACAAGTAGGATTTAAGTGGTTCCAAGTAATAACAGACAGAACAAATAAGCAAAATAAAACAAAACACGCAAGTCTGAGCCTAACATATGAAGAAAGTGAACAGGGGTAAATCTCACCCCCAGAGAGGTGTCAGGAAGGGTCCTGCGAGACCCCAGCCCCCATTCCTGCGGGCCGGGCCCCACGTACCCGGGAGGTTTGCAAGTGAACAGGGCCATTTACAGGGCATCAATGGTGGAGCCCCCTTAATGGGACCCATGTAACATGTTTATATCCGTGATACAAGTTTGTACCTTATTCTCCTAACTCCGGACACAGACATAACCTGTGAACACGTGGGCGGCCCACACGCCGCACGTTACAACCTTGGCAATGATACCGTACGAGAGCCCTTTCGTGTGACGCAGATTCCAGTGACGTCATAGGCACACTCATTAGCATATTTGCATAAATTCATATGGAGTGCAACGTCCCAGCCCCCTCTCCTGCCCCCCAGCTCCACCCTGATCCCAGCCTCATAACTCCTTCCCCTACCCCTCCCCTGCCCCCCAACCTCACCCCCTGACCCCGCAGCTCCACCCTGATCCCAGCCCCATAACTCCTTCCCCTGCCCCTCCCCTACCCGCCAGCCTCACCCCCTGCCCCCCAGATCCACCCCGATCCCAGCCCCATAGCCCCCTCCCCTGCCCCCCAGCCCTACCCTGATCTCAGACCCACAGCCCCTCCCCTGCCCCTCAGATCCACCCTGATCCCAGCCCCATAGCCCCCTCCCCTACCCCAATCCCAGCCCCATAGCCCCCTCCCCTGCCCCTCAGTACAGACACAGACCCCCACCCCAACTGAGAGTGGGGCCCCCCTGCGCCGGGCACTGCCCAGACCCACATAAGAGCCAGTCCTGGGGTATCTATTATCTCCCAGTGTGTGATGATTATTGGTGACCAGGTACCTCCCCCCGACCTCCATTATCGGGGACCTCCCTCCTGCTCCCCCTTGCCCCACCCCCTCCAATATGGCTCAGTTGGTGGCCGCCCCTTCCTGGGGGTCCTGCACAAGCTCCCCAGGGTCCGCGCCCCCGTCCGGACAGCCCTCCCCTTCCCCACACTCCTCCCCCAGCCCCTTCACTTCGGCCACGGTGGCGTAGTCCGTGTTGTGGGGGCCGGGGGACTCCGGCTGCTGCTCCCCAACCCGGGCTGAGGCCAAATTCTGCAGGGAGGCGTAATGCACGTCGGGGTGCTCCTCCGGCTCGTCGCCGCCCTGGGGGGAACGGGCAATTGTGACGTTATTGACATAAACTGGGACCATATAGATCATTGTTGCAACCAAAGTCCTGTAGTGGCACCCAA